ATTAATTCGGATTATTTTTGTAACCTTTTGAATCAATTGAATCAATATGATGAAAAATTCGTGAAAGAAGACCCGGATTACAGAAGAAGAAAATCATTTTCCACCAAGATAACACACCTGCACACACAGCTCAAAAAACCATTGCTAAAATAACTGAATTGAAGTATGAATTGTTGCAACATCCAGCCTATTCGGCAGATTTAGCTTCCTCCGACTTCTGGCTCTTCTCACACCTCAAACAATATCTCCGTGGAAAACGATTTTCTTCAAATGAAGAGGTAATAGCTGCCGTGGAGGGATATTTTGCAGAGCTGCCGAAAAACCACTACAGTCAAGGGATCCATAAATTAGAAGACGTTGGAAAAAGTGTATTGAAGTTGAGGGAAACTACATTGAAAAATAAAGTCATTTTTACAAATAAAAATTGGTTTCTTCATTTCCGTTCTGCGAACTTATTGAACAACCTGGTATTTATGCATTTATTATTTACAGTATTAGAACTCCAGTCAAACTGTCTGCTCTTAGCTAAGCTAAATTCAGCTTGTTAGAAATTTATTTTATGTCATTCATTGATTGAAATATATGGTGTGTGAAATTAAGAGATTTTTTGCATTTGATCAGTTACTTCCGATGCTAATGAATAGATTTTTGATAAAATTTGGTATGGACTTATGGTATAATACAAAAAAGAAACCATACAAAACGGTCATGATGTACACACATTATGATGCTTACAACTCATCAGTGCAGAAAGTTTAAAGCAGAGGTTGCAAGATAAGGCAAGAAAGGAACTAATCAGTATATGATCCCCTTTAACAATTGTACAGCTTTCATAGTGTGATTTCATACTGAAAATGATGCAGTTTTTAGTCTTGTGGTAATTGGTCACATTCCTGCAGCAACACCCTTTTCAAGTGCTGGAGGGTTCTTGAAGGCAAAAGATGAGCTGCAAATTTACTCTTAAGAACATCCCACACATGTTCTTCATGGTTTAGGTCTGGAAATCTGACCAGCCATTCCATTCTTTTACTATAGTCGTTTTCCAGAAAATCATCTACTATAGTAGTTAGTTCTATGTGGACGAGTGTTACCCATAAAAATAAACTGCGACCCAACCGAGAGTGTGGGATGTGTGTGAACTGCAAATCTTTCATACATTTCTCTATTGCTAACTTTTCTTTCCGTAATAGTGGTTAAGATTTTTATTTAAAATGTTACTTATTACCCTATCTCAGATTAAATTAACTTTTAACACTACAAATCCACAATTGCTCTTTAATTTCTTTATTTCTGTGAAGAAAGTAAAACAATTCTCCTGCTTGTTGCATGTGAGAATGATGTACCGGTTGTTGGTTTTTTTTTTTTTTTTTTTTACTGACGGTACTCGGAGACCTCTGTAGCTTGAACTATCAGCCGCAAAGCCACAAAATTGACTATTGACGACATGGGAAAAAAGAATCCCCGGGAGGGGGGGAATTAGTTCCAAAATTTGCCAATAGGGCAAAATGTGGCACTTAACACATTTAACACAGTTAAAATTTTGCTATTACTTAAGCAGGATCGCAGACCTGTTCCGTAAATGCTCAAAGATATGTAGGGTATTTAGGAAGTAAGTTTCCCTATTTGATAAAAAAAGAAAAACTCACTTTTTCAGGAACATATTTATTGGCAACAAGTACATAACATTTTTCAACATAACCACCACCATAATTGAGACACTTGTCGTAGAACTCTGTTGCCTGTGAATGAAACCAGCATGCGACAGACATCTTCAGCTCTTCATTTTTGCTAACACGCTCACTGGAGAACAGGAATTTCTTGAGGTGCAAGAATACATGAAAATCGCTGGGAGCAAGTTCAGAGTTGTGAGGTGGATGATCAAACAACTCCCAGCCAAATTCCATCAAAACAGCTCCTTTGCGTCAAGCCATATGTGGACGAACATTGTCATGGAGGAGCACAACACCTGCAGTAAGCATTCCTCGCCTCTTGTTTTGAATGGCACATCGCAATTTCCGCAGTGTTTCACAGTAACGGTCAGCGTTTACTGTTTCACCACGTGGATAGAACTCAATGAGCGGAATGCCCTTCCTGTCCCAGAACACTGTGCCCATCACTTTCCGTACCGACAGTGTCTGTTTGAATCCACTATGCCGCCAATGCATTGACTGCTGCTTGGTTTTCGGGATGAAGTGCAATATCCAAGTCTCATGACTGTCGAGGAAGTCGGTGCCGTCATCGTGATATCAGTGCTGCTCCTAAGCGTTCAATTTTGTGTTTGGGTGTCGGGTTTTTCACCGTCAAAAAACCGGACAATGTTTTTTAACAGCAGGTGCTTAGTGACAATCTCATGCAACAAGGATGGTGATACCTGCAAAAAATGGCTGCTCGGCTTCGTAATCATGAAGCGACAGTTCTCCATCACGTGCTGCTGCACAAGCTCAACAAAATCATCACTGATGAGAGGCCGTCGCCCACTGCGCTCTTCATAATGGACACTTTGACGACCTTTCCTAAACTGCCTGTACCAGCGAGGCACCATCTGCCTACTCATGAAGTTTGGCCCATAGACCTGACAGAGCTGACGATGAATTTCAATTGGCGCAATGCTTTGTGCATTCAAGAACTTTATCACTGACCGAACCTCGCAGGTGGCGGGAGAACGAATAAGAGCTTCCATTTCAGACCACTGCTACCCCGCTATATGGCACGAGACGAAACCTGTCCGGCTGGCATATGATTGATACGTCATAGATCTGTTACGCATGCACAATTGACATGGCTAATACGTTTACTTTAAAGGGGAAAACATCGGAAAACTTGCTTTCTGGATATGCCTTGTATCATAATAAGCAGAGTAGTTTTGTTATCCCACAACTTCAGCAAAGGCAATGCTTAGATAAAATTGTCTTTATGCAGGATGGAGCACCAGCACATTTTGGTACATCCATACAGCTACTGGTGCACCGTCACTTTGCTGAAGAAAGTCCTTAGTCGCTATTTTCATGTTGCATGGCTACCTCGCTCCCTGCTTCTAACCCAATGTGATTTTTTCATGTGGAGTTATTTAAAATCAAAATTTTATCTTGGTGGAGTTTTTAACTTATCACTTTTAAAGGAAAATATAATACAGGTTGTTATGAGCATTACCTCCTGTACTGTTCCATTCAGCTGTAGAGAGTAAGGTGCACAGAATGCAATGCTTTACTCCAAGAAAATGGAAGTCATATTAAAAATAGCTGATGTCTTCCCTGGGAAAGCAATTCTACTGAATAAAAACAAAAGAACAAAGAATAAAAAGAGAGTCAAATAGAATGTTCTCTATCTTTTTTTTTTTTTTTTAAATATGTAGTCATTTACAGAAGTTATTTTTTAGAATAAAGCACATTTGCAGAAAAATTAATTCTTTGTTATTCATTTATCTGTACACTTTAACTTTCTAAAGTGGTCAGAAATTTTATCGTGTAGTTAAAATTTAGATCAGAAGCGCCATATTCCCCCTTATCGGAAACTTTTGAAACTAAATTTTTTTTTTTTGCAGATTCCCTTTTCCCATGTCGTCAATAGTCCCCATACAAAATTTCGCGGCTTTGTGGCTGATAGTTCAAGCTACAGAGGTCTCTGAGTACCGGTAGTTTAAAAAAAAGTTATATGCCTATCGACACTTTACTTTTAGTCCACAATAGTTTTCAAAAGCTTCAGTTACCTTATCAATGTCTCCTTTTTATCTTCTTCATTTAAATCGAAAAGAAGTATTGAACTATAGTACTTCTTCACCCATAACATTTAAAAAAATAGCTACTTTTACTTCTTCCAGTTTGGTATTCCCACTAGGTGCTGTCATGTAAATCTAGAATTTTGGGTTCTGTTTGTCCAATTATCACTTATATTTCCTAGAAAACATAAACTGTTATTAGACTTTAACCCATCTATGATTAATTTAAAACTTAAATAGTCTAACCAGCATGTCACTGTGATTGAAAGTGAAGAGTGCACTGAGCAGCGAGAAGGCATTTCAGTTTCATTAACAAACTCTATGCAGTTTCCATTCTTGTGCCAGCATTAATATCTTCAGGGTTATTCATCAGTAACCATTATGTCTTTTAACTTCAGTTTTTTTTTTTTTTTTTTTTTTTTTTTTTTTTTTTTTTTTATGTAGTGTTATATTTATGTGGTTTTAGTATATGGAAATACAATGATACAAGATTGGTTAAACATCATTTAATCTACATTTCTAACTACTGTTCTGTATGATAGTTATATGTTGTATTACAATTACAGCTAAGTGACAGTAACCATAGCTGAAGACTTTTTTAATATTTTGAATGATCACTTAGAACAGGCAACCTTGATTTGAATTTGTTAAAATACAGCCTTTTTAATATACAGTGTATTATTTCATACGTATATATTTGCAGAACTTTGTAAATATATATATATATAAATAATACTGTAATTCCCAAATACATATAGTACTTCTGCCATAGGCATTACTGAAGATAATATGGAGATCTGTATAGTACAGAAAACTCTACTGTTCCGACAACTCTAAGATATCATTGAGTTTGCCTTTCTTCATATTGTGCTAAAATTTCGAAATTTTTTAGATCAAAATGTTCAAAAATAATAATAAATGATAGAGTATGATCTGTAAGTGAATTGTTTTCATTCATCATGGAAGCCTTATGGGCATCAATCTCTCTTATTAGACTGCAAAGATTGAACACTAATAAAACATGAGAAAAGACTTTCAAAACAAAGTTATTGATTGCCAAAAAAAAGCAAATATGATTAATGTACGGACAGCATGTATATATCTTCCTGCAGTAACTGCAGGTGTATAGTTAGGAAAAAGTCTACTGTTCGCAGTTCTCTAGGATATAATGGAGTTTATATTTATGGGCTAGAACTTTGAAATTTTTTATATCAAAATGTTTAAAAATAAATTATACTCAGTGACACACTGTGAACTCTAAGAAAATTGTTTTTATCCATTGTAGGAGCCTTTTGAGCATGAATCTCTCTTATTAGACCGCAAAGATTTGAAATTAACGAAACAAGAAAAAAGACTTGCAAAACAAAGTTATGAAATGGCAAAAAGAGCAAATATGATTAACATACGGACAACATATACATACCTTCCTGCAGGAACTGCTGGTGGTGGACAGTTCATCATCAACAACAAGTAAGTACAGATTTTTAAAAACTTCCAGCTTTTTAATCAGTTTGTATTTGAGAGTGTTGTAATCTTTTGTGAAATTGGTATGCAATTATGTAGTTACTGATGGTAATTTAATCATGTATGAAAAATTTTCTGATAGCTAGTAAAGTTTATTTGTAAAAGTGTTGGAGTCGGGTGTTATGCATAGTACAAATTTTGAACCAATGAAACTTCACTATTTACATGTAATATTTATCAGAAGCCTGAACCACTAATATAAACAAGATATAGCACATTTTTATGATGTGTATAATATTACATTTATATCCAGGTCCTTGGAATTAACCCAAATAAACAACAATAGTAGAACATTGATCGGCATTTCTTTATCCTACTTTAAGGGAAAAGTCACATGACCATAACATTTTCACTATACTCAGTCTTGTTGAATCAGTTGATAATAAACTGGAGGTTAATCAAATAGGCACTCCAAATGCTTTGTCTTCTCAGAAGTGCATTGAAAATGAACTGAAAAGAATGGTATAGATGTTTGGACATAACCTTGCAAACAGTGATGTGAGGCAAGGCATTTAAATATGCTATACCTGATTTCTCATTACTGGAATGGATGATGGTGACATAATAAATTTGCAGTGGAAAATTCAGTGGGACTTCCAAAGTGCTTCATTGCAAACATTTAAGCCACTCCTTTGCTTGCTGGCCCACCAGCGGCCGAGCGGTAAAATCGCTGAACAATGGTAGTTCGGTCCGAAGTTCGAATCCCGCGAACGGGCTGGCTGCATGGGCGTTTTCGTGGTTTTCCCCATGTGTAACGTGTATACGAGCCAGTTTCCCTTAGAAAGTCCTCCACGAAAGGCATCCCCCCTTAGGCAGATAGCCGTAGTGTGCTTTGCCGTATTCTCAATACACACACACCTTTGCTTGCTATTTCAGTATTCTTGTTTTGGATTCTAGATTTATGATGTTCTTGTTTTGGATTCTAGATTTATGACAGGACTTAATTTGTAATACAACAGAATGGGTGGAATTATTTTGATAAAATTTTAAATTGTCTTCTTATGAAGATTGTGTGAAACCTCTAATTATCTTTTCAAAACTTCTTAAAATGGTACATTGTGGGCCTTCTTTCCTTCCCAAACTCATAAACATGACATCTGATCTCAACCTCTCAGCCTTGAAATATAGTTTCTGAAACAACTAGCAAGGATACCAGTGCAGATGGCGAAGAACAGCAGCCACGTGGTCAAGACTCTAGACCGTATAGACCAAGAATGGATTGTCGAAGGCCCCATCAAGCTGATTTACGTCCTGGCACTAGATCTTCGGAGGCGATCATTTCCAGAAATGCAGAAGATGATGAACTTAAAAATCTCGAGCAAACAGTGTGTAAACTATTGCATTATAGAGACTTTGTGTAGGACTTTTTTTTCAATTCTATTTCACTTTATTTTTCTCCTACTTATTGTTATTGTATTTTATTGTTTATTTGTTGTTTTAATGGATGGTAAGATTTGGGTTCAGTTGAGGACAATTGAAAAGGCAGGATGGTCAAATGTAAGCACAATTGTAAATTAGTTATTGTTATTAGACAGAATATCTATTGAGAAATGGCAACAGCCAATTTCTGGATATCACTCTATTTATATTTATTCAAATGATGTACGCTTGAAATGTGTATTGGTACAATGCGGTAAGAACGTCTGTTATGATATGTACGTTTAAGACTACGTTGCATGCAGGTTATTGAGTTACGAGTACAATTTATCTTTTAATAAATCTGTGTTTGTCTTTTAAAAACATCTTATGAGTGTTTAATTTAAATACAGAAGGAAGCTAATGCACACGTAAGCTTTAATGTGCTGTAATTAAACAGTTCACGCCTGAGGCTAAGTGGATTTAGTTTTGCAGATTTCAGGTCTGCAATGAAAAACTGCTAAAGTAAAAATACCAAAATTAATTAAATTCAATAAGTGTATTTTGGTTAAAAAAAGAGTATTAAATGTTTTATAATTTTATATTAAAGATAATAATGGTTAAAAAGCATGCATTTTTACATTTTCAGACATTTATTTAGAGTAGTTTGTTCTGAACTTCAGGATGTTATACTCCTTCAGAATTGTATATAGTCATTATACTTCCTTATCAGTTGCATGATTTTGTCATTTTGATTTTTTCTCCCAACCATTTTGCTATGCCAACAAATGTCATGTTTTCATCTGTATTGTTATCTAAATATTTACTCCAAATATTCTTAACCATCACAAAAGCAATCTATGTATCCCCAAATGCATACTGAACTGAAGCGCAGTTTTACCACAGGGCAACACCACTCTTTTAACTCAAGCTTTTCACTTCAGTGTATTCTTTTCTGAACTTGCCAGAACTTTTTGTCATGATGTCTTTTCTATGTACTTCATAGTTGAATATGGAATTTCTGCAATTCCGCAATCTTATTTAATAGCAAATTTTGTGCCTGACATCTGAGAACAGTGTGCAGATTTTAGATCTTCTATCTACATCATGAATCACGCATATCAGTGCAAGTTACTAAGTCTGAAATGTTCTGAATTTTGGCGAGTTTTTGATTCTGTTTTTGTTAGGCAAATGTTTCCATAATGTACTAGCCTAATATGTATCAATGGTAAATTCCTGTGCTCTTCTAGCCTCATAAGTGTCAATATTAAATGCCTAGAAAAAGTCTAGTATATTTTATTTTAATATCCTGGTGTTGATTTCTGAAATAAAGCATACTTTTTAATATCTGTTAGAAGAGTATTCATTTTAAATTTACTAAATATTGTCCAAATATTCTTAAATGCTTATATTATAGGCAATGTCAGTGGGTTGGTGGCACAACAATTAGAGTCTTACCCAATCAAGTTGCTTCAGGAGGAACTAATGTTCGTTCAGGAACCACTGCTACACCAATTACAGCCTCTCCTTCACTTATGAGTAGTTTGTTTAAACAAGGTGTTATGGTTCAAAAACTAACGATGCCTTCAAGTAAGTACTGATTATAAAAATATTTTCATTTACCAAATTTTCTATGACCTATATATCCAGAATGCCCAATATTGCTACAGATTTCACCTATGAAGATAATAAATATCATTTGTAGGCCCTCCTCGATCATATATAGATCATTCATTTGATTTCACAATATTTATGACATGTGGTGGATATTATAAGTGTAATTACATTTTTTAGTGTTTTTGTATAATTGTGAATCTTAGGTATTTTCCCAGTAACAAAACTGAAACCTGAATGGTAATGGGTTTAGTCTGCATCTACTATAACAGTTGATGATATGTCTAAAAACAGATAACAGTGTCTTGCTTATATCTCTTTGGCCACAGCTAATGGTGCTGTTTTTTCAAGCAAATTTGAAGGAAGGGGATAAAAGAACTAAGATTACCTTTCTCATAATTACTGTCAGCCAAAAATGATAATACATTCAATAAAGTTGATTTATTTAATATTACAATTAAAATACAAGAAGCTACTGAGCACTAGTCGTTTGACTTAAATTCAAATCTCAAAGAGGTTTACATGGTTTTCCTAATGTGTATGAATATGAGCCAATTTCTATAAAAGTGTTCTCCACAAAGGCATCTATCCCATTAGAAAGCTAGCCCTCATATGCTTTGCCATAACCTAAATTATCTTATTTAATCTATTAAAACATTTTCTTTAACAACTCATTGTAGAGAAACTTCACAACTTCTTTTGTCAAAGAAACTTCACTTTATGAGAAAAATCGTCCTGCTAAAGTAGTGTATAATGCATAGCAACTAAAAATCGTGTTTAACACTGTGTAGTGTGAAATATTTCAAAAAGTAGCAGTTGAATGCTAAAGTTGTAATGCTTTAGAAGTTTAATACAAAATTTGCAGACTTCCCATGTGATATTGATTCATAAATTTAGCTGATTGTATCCAGCAGAATGTCTTAGCAAATTGTCTTCAATTGCTGGGTTTCTCTAGTAGTCTGGAAGTATCAGAGGGGCCTTACCATAAGCTCCAAAATAGGCTGTGGTAATCTAGCTGGCCAAGTGAGAGTTTTGCAAGCATGAAATCTGTTGGTAGAAATGTGTGACTTGTGCTGCATTATGTTGAAGGGGGGAAAAACAGCCACATAGTGGGATATAGAATTTCATTAACATATACTGTGTACTGTAAGAGTGCCATTGCTGCCTATCAAACAGGCCTGTCTATCTAACCAAATGACATGCTAGACTTATTAACAACCTGTTTGGCATGTGACAGTAAAGGTGGAATCTCAACACTTTTCTGAACATCTCCAGGTATGTCTGAGCTAGTCATGATTCACCACTAAAGGTATTTAGTCTGTAGTTAATGCAATTTCAGGTCACTCAAGCCTAGCTCTCTGAATTTCCTGACAAAGGTTTTGGCTTTCATTTCTGTATAGCTAACATGTTGTATTATAATGAGAGGTCCCCTGACAATTGCTTCATTCTCTCATTTATCACTCTGAGTCAACCACTACTTTAATTGTGTAAAAGTCTGCTATTCAACCATTTCTGCTAGTATCATTTAATCACCACATCAGTCTGATGGCAGAGCTTTTTTTTTCAAATTATAGTGTATGCTCAATATAAATGTGAACCTGTTAAAGAGACATTGTTACAGTCTAGTTGGATAAATACCAAATCTGTTGGATATTTTACCCTTAAGTTTTGCTGATTGATGAAGTTTCTGTATGCACAGATTTGATATGGCAGAATGTCTTAACGCCTTCACGACGGGTGTATCATATATGGATCAGAATTGATACACCCGGATTCCAAAATGCATCTCCAGTTCAACTTGGAGATGGAGTGTTGTTACAGTAGCACGAGCTCACAAGACATGGTATTTCGTGTTACTAAGACTAGCTTTAAAAAAATTAATAAAATTTTTTTTCTATCAATTATTCTCTGTAAAATTTCAGTATCAAAATTGCTATTCCCGCACTATCTAGTCTTCCACGTCAAAATAGTCACTCATGGGCTTTAATGGACACTCATGGACTTTACAATTCGAATATACTCTGGTTCCATTGCCGTATATTAAAAACTTCTTTCTCTTATACATCACAGTATTAATTTCTTTCTTAACTCATGCATAAAACTGGCATCTGCTATCTAAAGAAGATGCAAACTGAATACAAATCGGAGTTCCTAAAACCACAGCTCCACTCCCAATCTTCACATAGTAAAAGAAAAAAAAAATGAAGCATTGGAAATTGTTCAGTTTTTATATCACGTGAAGCCTCAACTACGCATCAGCTGGGTTTTATTTACTTTGTACCATTTGCTCGTACATTTAAATGAATCACCAGAATCGGAAAGTTCTTCATGGATACAAGGTCAACATTGTATATGTTCAAATAAACTAATTGTAGTGGCCGCAGAGCACCATTGATCTAAAAAAGTTCTAAAAGAACATGTATGTTTGAATGTGCATATATGACACACATGTCTGGAAGATCAATGCAAGTGGCGATGCACCAGTATATCACCCCGCTGCTAGTGACATTTGGGACTGATGCATACATGACACACCTATCCACAGAGTGTTTTCTGCTCAGCAAGATGCCATTGCATAGGGGTTAAAGTGTATTTATGGCTATATCTATTATTTTTTATTTCTTCTACCAAGAATGATGATCGTTTTCACTGATTTTGCTTTAAAAATTGTGTAGTTGCTCTCCGTCTGTAATCTTTTTGGTTCTTCTTGATCGGAGGAATATTGGATACTTTTACCTAGTAGTTACGCATCTTTCTTTACACATACAACTTGCATGAGTATAATGTTATAGATTGTAAAAAAGCATCATAGATAGATGAAAAGAAAATATTTTGGTGAGCATATTTTCAGCACTTACTGTAAACTTGAACTTTGATCTTTGGTTTTCTTCTCGCCATCATTCCTTTTTTCGTCTCAGTTTTGTTTGCATACGTGTATGGTGGCTGTACATCAATTCATAATCCTGCCAAATGTGAAGTGCAATGTGTTGTGTCTTTTCTTCATGCATAAGGTGAGCATCTGGTGGATACACTTAAAGAACTTATTTCCATTTATGGGAGTGTTATTAATTGACAAATAGTAATAAAATAGTGCACTTTCTCTGATGGTTCGCCAATGTTCATGACGAACAGAATACAAGTAAGCCATCTGTCGTCTCTGAAGCCCTTTCTCAAATAACAGGTGAAACAATTCAAGAAATTGATGCCTTATATTGAAAAAATTGCATAAAATAATACTGGAAGTGTATGGCAACTCTGTATGAAGCAATGACTGCAACTTCAGGGTACAGGAAATTGTGTGAAATTTATATCAAGGATATTAACCCTCTTAACGTCATGACCGGCTTTATCCAGTCATGAGATTTTTTTGTCACTTGTTACATACTAGCTTATAATTTAAAATATTTTCCTTTCTTACTTTTATTAATATTATAAATGCCATTTTGATGGATGTAAATTTATGAAAATAGAGACTAAAATAGGTAAATATACATATTTAGCTAATTTAAGGCTCTCTAAATACTGGTCTTCATGACAGATCCAAAAACCCGGGCTGCTCAGAGGCTTAATGAAAGAACACACGCAAAAAAGGGGGTCTCACACGCTGTGTTGAAGCAGGTGGTCAGTATCTTAATTGTGTTGTTCCTGGTGACGAGATGTTTATTTATCACCATGTGCCAGAAGCCAGGCAACAGTCAATGTAGTTGCACCCTGTGAGACAAAAGCCAAGGAATTTAAAACTTCAGTTTTAGCGGAAAAAATCATTGCTTTTGTTTTCTGGGGCATACAAGACATCCGATTGATTGACTTCATGCCTCCTGGCACCACAATTAATACTGATGCATATTGAGAAGCTTTGAGATATCTCAAAGAAGCAATCCAAAACAAATGTTGAGGCATGCAAATAAGTGAGTTTGCTTTTTTCATGACGATGCTTGTCTTATATAGAGCTTCAAAACAATATCACCACTCCAAAGTTTCATATGGGAAATTTTAGGCTATCTGATATACAACCTAGAACTTACACTTGGTGACTTCCATGGTTTCCTTTAACTGAAACAACATCTTGGAAGACAAAACTTTTACAATGATGAAATCAGAACTCAGCTTTAGATGGGGTTTTGATAACAAGCAATAAACTACTTTGATTGTGGAATGCAAAAGCTTATACCCAGCCTTGACAAATGCTTTGACAATGGTGGCAACTACATTGAAAAATAAAGCATGTGCCAATAAGTAATTTGTAATGAACATTTTATCAGAAATTCTCTGAATGAGTATGAGGCATTGTGACTACTTTTTGAAAATGCCTTGAAGATTTCTCTAGATAACTGAAAAGAGTCTGTCATTATACATTTATGTTCTTTAATGAAGTGACTTAAATAATAAATATTGGTTATTATTTACTTAAAATTTATTTAATGAGTATTGTTTAATGATCATATTTCACAAGAAAAGGAACTATGAATAAGTCATACTTTTTCTTCTGGCTAAATGAGAATGGCAATAGTTAGATAATGTGCTGTTAGCTTACCTATTTTTTTATTATTCTTATTCTGTTATTTTCAGTAGCTTTGATAGTGTGATTTTGATTTTCATATAACACCATATCACTTTCAAAGAAATATAATAATTGTGTCTAATAATATATGTGATATAATTTCAAAATTTGTTAAAAGTAATATAATTACTATGATTTTTATAGATGTCAGTATACCTGTGCTTACACCTGGTGCACCACCTGTTGTCATACCAGCGGGACAAGATGTTCTTGTTCTTAGAACACCAAAAGGTGTCTATCTCCGGTTACCTGATGGTCGCATCATTGCTGTTCAGTTACCACCAAGTCTTTTGGCTAAAACACAGTTTCGACCAAATGTTGTGACACATTTCAGACCTGCAACTCCCAAAGGTACTGTATGAATGAACAAGAAATTTAAGAAATTTTAAACACTTAGTTTTTTAGCCATTTTTGTTCTCAGGATTTTTCTATAATTCATGAGACATCATTATTCATTTTCATGTAATATAGGATAAAAAATAAATTTATTCTAAACAATTTATCAGAAATTAAAATATGTTCTAGAAAATATCACTGATTCAGAATGGAATAAATGCATGTAGAATGCAGTGATGTAAATAGTAGTAGAATATCATAATCGAATGTTTCAGATTACTGTTTTAAAATTCAGAGTTTCCACACGAACATATCATCATTATTTAATTATGTATGTTGATAATAACAGGCTGTAATGAGTGGTTTAATAGATATTAAGATTATAATACCTCCTTCTTTAATATAATTTTTTTTCCTTGTTTCTTTTGTAAATTTACAGTGTAACACATTGTGGACAAAGATGAATGCTCACAGTTTACTGTTAAAATAATATCAACATTTGTTTTAAAAGCATTTAAAATTCTTGTGCAGAATTTAATGTTTTCCTCAAAAGTACAAGTGTGGATCAATTTTTTTAAAAAAATTATTTATAAGCTGTAACAGTGCACTTTAGGGATGTTTCAATGAGCGTAATAACGCAAAACTGCTCTTTTATGCGATCGGATCAAAACCATTCTTGTGCTGAACTGAACTAGTTCTTTTCATGACTCATCTCTCACTAATAATCTTCATAAAAATATCAGGTAGGAGTAAATCGAGCAGTTAGTGAGGATGTAGAAAAGAGCAGAAAGAATCAAATGAGGAGTGATATTGGGAAAGCTCATCGTAGTAGAATTGAATAGCAAAAAGAACAGACAATCACGAATATCAGAAGGTTCAACTTAATCAAATGCTAACTTCCTGAATTGATGCATTCTACTGTAGTTTTGAGATTTTTTAGAACCTCTTCCTACATAGAACTAACGGTAAAATCATAGAATAAAATATATTTCAAAAAGAAGAGAAATGATAAAAGTTATATGTTTTACATAAGTAAATAAACATTCTCCCCTAAAATGGGAATCGAGCTTTCCTAGCGCTTTCTGTGGGTTAATTCTAAAACAGCTGTGCTCTTTTTTCAAGACTCGGGCATTTGCTCTCTCAGTAAAATGGATCCATTTGTGAACAAATAGCATATTTCAAGTCCTGGCAGACTTCCAAAAATAGCTGTCTATGAACTTTAGTCTAGTCTATTCTGTACGGCTATTGCCGAAGTGTCGCGCAGCTGCGCAACTTATCCGGCTCTTGAAAACTGAGCCCAAAGGGCACATGACATTGAATTTTTCATGACAAGTTTTTAGGAGGTCCAAAGTGGTTACAGGGGGCGACCATGAGTCACAAGGCCAAAGAGTGGCACGCGCATCAGGAAATTCGTAAAGCAGGAGCCGTGAGGATCTGTATGATATGTTTGTGTTGTATCACCAAAGAAGACACAGACAGAATCCTATAGTTTCAATCATGACATCTGAATTAAAATATATCATAACAATTAAACATAACATGCATTATTACATAAGTACTAAGTGAAAAGAACATACAATTTAAACATACAAATAACAATTGAGAAATAAAATTATATACACTATATACAATATATACAAGCGCTGTGCTTCCCCTTCATGATTATTTTTACGTGGGGAAATTTAAGTCCCTGGCGAGGTGGGCCGCAAGTGGTCTTAATGAAGCATCTTCTTCAAGAATTACGTAATCTAAAACATTGAGATCGGTCATATGGTTGCATTCTTGTGCCTTGTTGAAGAATTTGTTATTTGCTTTGTGTAGATATGTTTCTACAGATTCCATTTTCAGGTCACGGTGCATTGTGTGATTCGAGACATAATAATGAGCATTGGTTATCATCCTAAGTACTTTATTTTGGATAATTTGCAGCTTATTTAACTCCTTTTTCTGAACTGTAGCTCAGGCCGGAGAAGCATACGCAAAATGGGACGAATAATGGAGTTATATATATGTCTCTTCCTTTTGATATCTAATTTGGAGGTCGCAGACAGGAGTGGAGTAAGACTTTGAAGTACCCCAATAGTCTTTCCTCTGACACATTTTATATGCTCTTTCCAGAGGAAATTAGCACTATATTTTAATCCTAGGTATGTAGCAGTTTTTACAACTGGTACAACGGTATCAAATAGCAACAGTTGTGCAGTTAATGGGTGGTTCATTTTATTCTTTTTGAAAATCAGAAGCTTAGATTTATCAGCATTAATTGCGATTTTCCAATTGGCACACCAGGTTTCAAGTTTCGGCATAAATCGTTGAAGTTTCTTAATCGCAAAATTTGGCGACCCAGACTTGACTGCAAAAGCTGTGTCGTCTGCGTAGCAGCCCATGAAAAAATTTTGATCTAAATGTTCTGCAGGTAGGTCTGCCACGTAGAATAAATAGAGCACGGGCCCTAAAATAGATCCTTGAGGGACCCCGGCCTGTATTTGCTTCTTATTTGAAAGTGCTTATCACCAATGTCGAATAACTGAATGTTCTGTTTGAAAGAAAACGAGTGAATAATTTTGATTAACTCAGTGCTGAACTGCAAACTGATTAATTTATAAATTAGCCCCTCATGCCAGACGCGGTCGAACGCCTTCGCCACGTCCAGCATGAGTAAGGCAACATATCTTTTGTTGTGCAGTGCACTACCTATGTATTCGTTCAGTCTAACCAGCTGCTTCGTCGTGGATAGGGCTTTCCTGAAGCCAAACTGTTCAAGTGGTAACTTATCCAGGTGTGGATGTATTCTGCTAAGGACGATTCTTTCAAGTATTTTTCCCATACTGGGTAGCAGGCTAATGGGCCTGTACCCATCCGATTTTGTCAGGTTCTTTCCCGGCTTTGGGATCACTATCATTTTAGCAGACTTCCATGTATTCGGAAAATAGCTATTGTACAGGCAAGCATTCAGAATACCTGTAAGACGATTAATCATATTTATTGGCAGCCATTTCAGTGCTACATTATTAACATTATCCTGCCCGGGGGCCTTTCTATTCCTGAGCTTTTTAATTATATTTATGATTTCCTGTGGTGAGGTAAGCTCTAAGTGATTTTGCAGGTTGTTTTTGTAAAGCCATTTTGACACTGTGGAGTTCACATGAGTTGTAAAATCCTGATTGCATGGGTAGGTGTTTGTGATGAATTGCTTTTCAAAGTGCTCAGCGAGCGTATTGCACTTTTCAATATTTGTGAGCGCAATGCCATGCTCGTGGTAAATCGGCCTATTAACTGTGGGTTTATTTTTAAGACGTTTAACAAACGACCAGAATGAGCTACTAGGCTCGTTAAAACTCTCAATTTTCTCATCCCAGAGATCCTTTGCGGTGAGTAGTTTATCTGTTTTTTAATTTCCCTACCAAGTCTATTCATCTCTTTTTTAGTATTCAGGATTGCAAGGTGAGATGATACCTTTTTCTAAGTTTATTTCTATCTCTGATGAGACTTTTTATCCTATTGCGGTAACTTATTAGTAACCTGTCTTCTAGGAATTTTTCTCGTGGCCGCTTGGTAGGCACTTTGTATGTCCATTGTAAGATGTTTGGCCGCAAGCTCAATGTCCTCCGGAGTGCGTAGTTTACTGTTGGTTTTACATTCTAAGAGAATTTCATTGAAAACTTTCCAGTTGGTTGTATTAATGTGTTCCTCCATAACATCTTTGGTAGTACCTAGGGTCGCAATGACCGGGCAGTGGTCAGAATCTAAATCTTGAATCACCTCTAGATTCAAAGAGAGGGAGATGGTCAAGATGAAAATATCCAAAATGTCACCTGTACTTGGGATTATGTCGGCAAATATGTGTACTCACTTGGTACATGAAAATAGATTGGGTGATTATTAATGAATTCGGAAAGCTTGATTCCATTTTTATTTGTCCTCCTGCAATTCCATTCCTGATTTTTGGCATTTAAATCCCCTGCAAGAATGACCTGTTTATTGATGTCAAGTATTTTTGCAAGATAATTTATATCAAGCATATTCTTCGGAGGATTATACATAGAAGTGAAGTATACGTTACCATAATGCGGCAGAAATACAGACACAGTCACAATTTCATGCCCATTAACCCTTTGCGACATGCATATTTAAAATATATTTTAATCTTTAAAAAAATGCCTTAGAATAAGTCAGATGGATTTACTTAAGTGCCTTTAAGGCCTGAAAAAAATTCTGCGCTTTTATTTTTTACGGTGGAAGGTGGGATACCGTTTGTCCCACCATGCAACTAGCACATGTCTTATAACATATTGGTGTATAGCAGGGAAAAAAAATCATATGTGGAATGAATAAACAAAATAAAGCATGTGTTCTAAAATATTCATAATAAACACACTAAAATGCATTTTGTACTTATTGCATATATGCATGACTTGTAAAATTTTGCATATGCACATTTTGCGTATAGTATATATTTAATATTTTTAAATTTTAGGAACAAAAGCAAATATTTTCTTGAATATTGTTTTAAGATTAAAATTTGACACTCGTACATATGATACTAAGTAAAATATTAAAATTGGCACTTGATTCAAAAACATTTATAAATGATTAAAATTGAAAAAAGTCATTTTTCATGAAACTTTGAAAAACATGTTGTTTCATTCTTTTGTAAGCATAGAGGCACTTCACATGTTTCACACATCCAAAATGTTTGTCGTTCTTCTTTCGATATGCTGCAATATGCACATCTTCTCCTGCTCGTTCTCTTTGGCGTTTTACTTACATTTTTTAGTCTCTTTTCTGGTTGTACGAACGGGTTTTTAGTTTTCATTTGAACTGGGGATTTCAGTTTTTTTTTTTCAGCTCTTTCTTGCCTGCAAGTGCCATTAGACCTTCTGTAACTGAGAGAAGAAAATCTTTCATTGTTTTTACATCATGATCAGGTTCGCGAACAAACTTGAATAAATGTGTTTACTATACTCGCATCTAAAAAGTAAAAAAAAAAAAAAAATCATGTGCCACCATTTCTT